GAGAGAGAGGCTGAATGACAAAATTGAAATATGGGTCAAATTGCGGCCGCAATCTATTTCGCAGTTGGAATGATTTTTTTAAATTCATTTAGCGTTTTTCCTGGAAAGATCACAACAAAATCTACGAGTACTCCAATTTTCATGTTTTTTCACGCATTCTTCTGAGAGTGAAAACTCACTGAATTTGGAGTACTTTTTAAGTTGGCCCACACATGGCTGAGTGGCAAAAATGGAAAATGTGCCCAATCGGCGCGACGATTATTTCTCGGTCTAAATGATTTTTTAAAAATATTCTAATATTTTTCCTAGAAAGAACACGACCTCATATATGGATTCTCAAAATTGCAGATTTTTCTGCAGGTTCCTCCGAGCACAGAAAATCGCCAAAGGTGCCTTTCGCAAAATGCCTATTTCGTTGCGCCTGTTTTGGGAAGATGGGCCTCAACGCTTGGGCCTGAGGGCCCTTACCCCACCCCCCACTTCTTTTTGGGGTCCACTTCCACTCGAGGACCGGTCGTTGCTTTTTCCAAAAGTCCTGGTCATTCCAGAGCTGCCTGTAGGTAGTCCCCAATTTTGCCAAGGACCGGTCCCCCCCAAACTTTTGACCCCTAAAAACCCACTTTGCGTCCTGGTCGCCCGCCGCCGAAAATGCGACACCTTGACGCAGACGCCGAACCCCACTATACCGCAGCCTTAGGGCTGCGAACTCATACCGCAACTCCCTCTGAATCTTGACAAATACTTCCAGCCAAATACATTCAGGGAATCATAACTTGGACTACAACGTGTTCAATGTCTTCCACAGGGAGGCTATCTGCTTGCCATTCCATGAAGCTGCGGCCCTGCCATCATGCTGGTACAACACTTCTTTGTAGTGATGCGCAGAAGATTGTGCTGGGTTTCAGCAGCTGCACATCTTCATAAACATGTCCAGATTCGGGCGCTAGTGATGTTTTTCTTTTTTTATTTTATTTTATTTTATTGTAGACGTCATTTCACAACGGAGAAGGCATCAACGGCCACCGTAGGAGCGTCTTCGTTGAAGACACAATCGGCCTGTCGGATCAGGGGAGTGGACCTGACGTCATTGTATGCAGTCATTACCCTGGGGATACATGTGACCGCAGTCATGTCCAGAGGTGAGTGAAAAAACATTGTCCTCCAGCAAGAGGTTGGTGGACACTACGGGCTGCAAGCCCGCGTCCTCGCGGTATGTCAGTGCACGGCAGGGAGGCCACACAGGCTAAAATCACCCAGTCAGAGTGGGCTACTGTGGTTGCACGCAAGCAAGGGCGCGGCAGAAACATGGGACCCCTGACAAATTTCTGTCATGCCCCGGTAGCTCCCGCCTAGGCCCGGAGAGAGTGGCTCCAAACGGCGACAGGGGCGTGCTGAAAAGATGGATGATGCCGGGGGCGTCTCAAAATTTTTCTCGCTGGCAGTTTATGGCTATCCGGTAAGGGCTTGCTGCAAATTTGGAAAGGGTACCGGTAGGGGCATGACGAAAATAGTTCAGGCCCAAACGACAGCAGGTGTTTCTGGGAAATTTGAATCGTGGTCAGAGGGGAGCGACAGGGTAGATCAGCCGTTGGAGGGGCGCGACGCAAGAGAATGCAAAATACAGGGGCGCCAGACAAAATTTTCCCATCATTCAAAAGGAAACCCAAACGAAAAACGCGGGCTACCAACTCGCACGGACGAGTGCGGTTTCGCGCATTGAAACCCCGCCCAGTCCTCCTGGGTGCCGCGAGGTGCCACCCCGCCTCTCGCCTTCGCTGCCGACCGTGGGTTGCAGCGGAATCGACGGCCAGAAACACAGAGCCAGGGTCACTGAGAGAGCGCCACTCGTGGGGCCAAGGTCCCACTTGCGCAAATTAGGTGATTTCGGCCGTCCATCTTTGCTATCTACGGTCACTACCTCTCTTAATTCCTCCAAGTGGGACCCACAGTAGCCCCTGGTGGAGAGAGACCGCCGGAGGCCGACAGCCCTCTCTCTCCGTCAGCCTCCGCGAGGCGCGCCTTTCCGAAGTGGCGCGCCGCTTCCGAAATCCGTTGGCGCCACTTCCGAAATCCGTTGGCGCCACTTCCCCAAATTCCGCGTTGTTGCAGGCGTATTTTCGACTGGTCGCGCTTCCTGCATGTGGGGTGAGAGAGAAGGGAGACTCCTAAGACTCACTCCTAAGACTCCTAAGACTTCCATTCTGGGGCTAGGTCCCACTTGCATGAATTAAGAGATACTGACCGTAGATACCAAAGATCAACGGCCGAAATCTCCTAATTTGCGCAAGTGGGACCTTGCCCCTGGTCGCACTGGCAGGGACTGGCAGGGGCTAGGTAGGTGCGGTGAGAGAAGGTAGACTCCTAAGACTGTCTATTCCCGACCCAGGCAGGGGCTAGGTAGGTCCCACTGGCGTGTGTTCTTCATTCTTGACCACCGATTGTGGCGGGAATACGCAGATCGATGGCCAGAAATAAAGAACACCATCTAGTGGAACTTGGCACCTGACCACCGGTATATAGTAAATAGTAAATAGTAAGACTGCCAACGCGGCAGACGAAGGCCTCGTTGGCCGTCCACGTGTACGTCTTTCCGGCCTCTGGTATGACTGTGATCGAAAGCTTCTCAAGATCCGAGAATCGCATGCGTGGGCGGGACCTCCTTCGCTACCAAGCATGGGAGCAACATATCGTCTCGTCGAAATAGAAAGATCTGGGTCTTCACGTTTTTCCCGCCGATTGAGAGGAGGGCGCCACGTGTACGAGTTGTTGTCCCGCTTTCAAATGTGCGGACTGGTTCGCTGCAGACTTCGATTGTGTGGACATGATCGATTGTGCGGACATTTTCGCATCCGCGGGGAGGGGGGTGGAAAGCCTGGCGGGAGAAGGGCGCGGACCGATTGACCGACCGGCCATCCCACCGACCGACCATCGACCAATCTATCAACAAACGAACAGATCGACCGGTCGCGCGATCGGTGGATGCAGTGACCGAACGCCGGTGCAGCGGAAGGACCGCAAAGGAGTTGGATCGCGCGCGCGGTGGTGCGGAGGAACCCCACAAACCCCAGCTACGAACTGAACGACCGGTCGATCTGTCCCGAGCGACCGTTCTCAGTGGATCGATGGTGATGGTTTCTCCTCGCTCAGCCACAGAGAACGCTCGGGCGGTGAAACGAGGGCGGGAACTGGAGACGTGGGAGGAGGGAGAGGCGGAGGGGAAGGAAGAAGGAGAGGAGGAAAAGAAGGGGGAAGACGCGAAGTGTGGGAATGCCCATAGCGAGGAGGGAAACGAAGAAGAGCAGGAGAAGGGGGAGAAGCAGAGGGCGCAGCTGATTCCAATGGCTATGGCGGTGGCATCTGTGCCAGGCGGGCTTGCAGAGGAAGACCTGCTGGATCCGTGCCCGGACGTGCATGCACTGTTCTGTCACTACAACGAGCTCTACTTTGAAGGGAAACTAGGCGCCTGCTCTGTTGACTGGAGCACCCCTCGAATGACTCTGTATGTGTGACTCACACACATCACCCCTTCCTCTCTCTCTCTCTCTCTCTCCCTCTCTCACTCCCTCTCTCTCTCCCCCCTTCCCTTTCGCCCTTGACATCCTTCCCGTTTCTGAGTCTGTAGGAGAGGTGCAGAGTGGATCTGTCTGGCGGTAGGCGGCAGTGGGGATTGCTGCGCTGTATTCTTGCTTTCTGTTTGGGGAATCCTCACGGGCAATCAGCAATGAATCCTCGTTCAGGAACTGTTTCCCACCCTTTGCCGAACCAGTCAGAGCCTTTGTCGAACCTTTCTGAGCCTCTGTAGAACCTTTCTCAGCCTTTGTCGGATCAGTACGAACCTTGAATTGACTCTGTATGTATGACTCACACATCACCCATTCCTCTCTCTCTCTCTCTCTCTCTCTCTCTCTCTCTCTCTCTCTCTCTCTCTCTCTCTCTCTCCCTTGACATCCTTTCCGCTCTCTGTGTCTGTAGGAGAGGTGCAAATTGGATCTGTATGGCGGTAGGCGGCAGAGGATCGCTGCGCTGTATGCTTGCTGCTTCATGTTTGGAATCTTCACGGGAAATCACCAATCAATCCTCATTCAGGAACTGGTCGAGCCTTTGTCGCACCTTTCTCAGCCTTTGCCAGACCAGTCAGAGCCTTTTTGTTTTTTTTGCCTACCGAACATAACGCATGGGCGTTGCAAACGAATACAACGTGTAGGTTGCTTTCTATTCGACTACAACGCATTTGCATTCGATTCGAACAGGTCCTTGTTTTCGAATACAACGCACATGCATTCGATTCGAATTTTCGATTTTTTTTTTTTTTCCCGCAAATTTTCGATTTTTTTGAAAACTCGAATACAGTGCATATCCGTTATGTTCGGGGGAGGACGGGTAGCCACTTCGAGCCTTTGCCGAGCCGATCCGAGCCGTTGTTGGACTTTCCTAGCCTTTGCTGAACCATTTCTTCTACGATGAATCTATAGCCGAACGTGATGACCGGATGCGCGCCTCGCAGCGACTACTCTCACACCGAAATTCATCCGCGTATTGCACATAAGTTAAGACGTCGGAAAAGAATCGTCTGGACAGTGATCAGATTAATCTCGGTGAAACGGCGGACACAAACTCAGACGGAAGTAGAAGTAGCACCGCTGTGGCTGAATGGTATGATGCTCATGCTCATGTAATTGTCAGTAAACAGATCGCGGGTTCGAATCCAAGAAAGAAGAAAGCATAAAAGGGATTCGGGATTTTAGGATTATTAGGACGATCGGAATCAGGATGAGGATGAGGATGAGGATGGCGAAAATAAATCAGTGGTAAGAAGCAGAAGTGGGACGATAAATGAAATAAAAACGGAATGAAATGACAAATTCACAATTGATTACATACCGTCTTCGCCCGAATAGAACGTAGGCAGAACAGAATAGAATTATAGAACGTAGCCTCGTCATGAATGCATCGGACCGGAAAGATAGCTTGTATACATTTGTGATCAGTGTACGTTTCCTTCTGGGGGAAGACAGTAACTCCGCAGGAGGTGTGAAGCCGGACTGGCGATTACTCAGTTTTGTTGACATCATGCTGATCATCTCTTCTTTTTTCTTTTCTCCCTTGTGAACGCGGATCATCTTGATGACCCAAGAAAAAAAATGGAAAAATATAATTTGTTGGCTCGATTGTTGGTCTGTTTGGATTGTCACGTCAAACTTAGGTCGTTGTCACACACAGAGAGAGAGAGAGAGAGAGAGAGAGAGAGAGAGAGAGAGAGAGA